CATCCAGGTTGTGGAGGAAACGCCGGCAGGATGCACCATCACAGAATCCCCTTTGGAAAAAACCATCCCAGTTGTTTCGGGAAAGTGAGTACGAGGTATTTTCACAGACGCAGAAACTTGTTTAAGTAGAAGGGGACAGGAAAACCATCTGCCCAAAATGACAGGGCAGAGCAAGCGGTACAGGATGATGAAGAAAATCCATTAGTGGTTACTTCGTCTGAATTGGTGGAAGGTTTATTCGATGAAATTCCTGAGAGAACTGAAACTGATCTTGTAGTTCAGAAACTAATAGTTGTGAGTGAGGATTCGCAACAAGAGGTTCTAGAAGTTGAAGACGATCTTGAGAAAAAGTCTGAAATAAACGAGGAGCAGGTGTTTGATAATAGTCCTCAAAAGAACGAAACTGAAGTGTTAAACAATAAGCAGTCAGTGGTAGTAATATCGTCTCACCAAAAAGGCGTCACAAAGAAAGCAGTACACAAGGATGAAGAGGAAACAGTGGGACAGCTGAAATTTGAAAATGACGGCATTGAGCATGGATGAAAGGTTAAAGATAAAGAGGAGATGGAGGGAAAAGCAAAGGAAGATCAGGTGTTTGATGAAAGTCCCCCAAGAAGTACAACTGAGATTCCGAGCCAAATCTGAGATAAGGAATCATTTCGCGTTCCTTTAGGTGACCAAGGCTACTTATTGCCGAGTGAGAATGAGAAATCTGTTTCCAATGAGATTTTACCTGTTGAATATGATGAACCAACACGAAATAGTAAAATTGCTTCAAATGTTTCACAAATAGAGATCGAAGTTGCAGATTATGGTAAGAGTGTTACTTCTAAAGCTAAAATGTCAACTGTAACTGCTAATATTTCCTCTTGTATGCCGGGAATGTGTGTCTTGTGTTTTGATAATCATTTTGGGCAATTAGTTTGTTTATGAAGTTTGAATATGGGATTTGGATGTGAGGAGGATTCACTAATGAGTGGGTACCCAGAAAGCGGGGAGAATGGGATTGCTGTCAAACAATTCAAAGAAATACTGAATAGAAATACGGTCTCGAAAATTGTTATGCTATACAGTTCTAAACTGAAGGGTAAAAGCGAGAAGTGGGTTGAGACTTTTAATACCTGCAGTGGCTGATTTTGAGGTCCATGACTGCAAATTCTTGATTTTGGGTGTGAGAAGTAATGGTGGCACCGTACATGAGCTTATGGTTGTTTGGGAACCTAATCACTGTGAGGGATTTGCCAATGAACTTCGTCTAGGTGGTGAGTTGAAGCCGAGGGAAAGGAATAAAGTGTTTACTGATGTGAAACGTGTCACCGAGGAGCATGAATGGAATAAGCTCTTTAAAATCGAGAAAGGAAGCAATTCTTTTGGATTGGAGGGGTGTGATTGGAACCATATTGAACACCAATTAAAAGTTCTATCTACGAGCAAGGGTATATCGACATATTTATGGGTCTTTCATGCTAGAACTTTTGTGGGAAGCTTGGAACCTTTAGTAAATATCCTTGTGGTAAAGGAAGACGAGCAATGTGTTTCCCAAATACAAATGGAAATAACAGGTGTACCCAGTCATAATGTTGGAGGAGCAGATAAATTTCATGGATCACTGTTAATCCTAGAATATAACATGCTGAAAGAGGAGAACATCTTTGAAGAAGGAAACAATGTTAAATGGCTAGCCATAAAAGGTGGAGTTTATTCCAAAATTACAGTACAAACAATTGTCTCTATAAAAGGTTGTTCTAAGGAAAAATTGAAAGGCTGCTATACAGGGCAAGGGCCCTCTCCTTACTGTGTTCTTCAAGTCTTACCAGTGAACCTTGCAAACACCAAGTTAGTATTTTTTATTTGGAGCAAAGTAATTTGGTGTTATGATGAAGAGGATACTAGTTTGGCAATCAGTTTATGCACTTGACTAATGATAGCACCTATGTGATTGTTTTCAATGCTCAACTATCTTGGTTCCTGCAAGTAACTGCAATAGTTACTGAGATTGTGATCGTTTGGATGCTACTTCAATTTTTGTTGATAGTGGTATCTATTCTACTAGTTCTTAATTTATCCTTTTTTTGGTGTACTTCCTATGAGCCTCATAACATTGTTCAGTCCCTAAATCTTGACCATCTTGTGGCTTTATCATGGGAATGTGTTAACTATTTTGTCCAACTCCATAATTTCTTAAGTTCTAGCATGGTGGAATTTGTCCAGTTGCTTTTAATTTTCAGAATAGTAGAATACTGGGTTGAAGATTTTGCTGTCCTCGGTTAGTGGCGAATTGTTCGACCAACAAAGTTTCTATCATTTAAACAAGTGGATGAACCTTTAACCTCTGAAGATGTTCATTATTTAGACAAGTCCATGGTGATTTTGATTCTTGCGCTCCTGGTTGTTGTGGCTATTGACCACTTTAAGATAATAGATGGTTCTTTGGGAAAATTAATAATGTTCCGTGTAAAGAATTTTATAGAAGGTGGAAATCTCTTTGTGGCTCTTAGGAGGAAATCATATGGTGGCAACACTGATCTATTAGGTTGCGAGTGAAGTTGATGCAATAGTACTTGGTTATCCGTGTGGAAATCATTGGTTAAAAAAATATGGAGTGCCCTGTCATCTTCAGATGGTGTTGCAGTTGCTATTCATAGGATTGGGACAACAATTCAACAATGCAAGACGAAGAGTCATGCTTTGAAGAATACTGGTGCATTGGCTTTTGCAATTGTAGTGGTGTTTTTGGAGCGTATGTCAGTTTTTATAAATATCATTAAATTGGACAACACAAGTTTAAGGAATTCCAGATTTATGAACCTTGAGGACAAGGTTATTTGAAGAGGGATGGAATGTAACGATTGAGGAAAATTGGGATCAGGTCTTACTTTATTTTAACTTTATGTCTTTAGAGTCCTAAGTTTATCTAATGTCATTTTAGTCCCTTTTTATTTACCTTATAGTCCCTAAAGCTGGTTGCAGTTGGAGTTGCCACGTCTTAGGTTTGTTACAGTGTTTTTGGATCTTGTTAAATACCTTGTATTGGCATTTGGCCAGGTATCTGAAATGAAAATCTAAGCTTTTCTTCTTTAAATTTTTGCTTTCTTTGTTTCTTTTTCTTTGCTTAATTCATGACGATTCCAACATGGGAATCGATACACCGGTGGCTCCTAAACATTATACGTAAGTCCACCTCTGGTCATGGAGGTGATTTAATTTGATTAGGTTTTAGTTAGGATGTGCAGTTAGGTACCAATTCCGTACAGCTAGTACGCGGTCGACTTCGCTAGTATTCTTCCCAATTAAGAAATAAATATACATAAATTCACGTTCTTTATTTCTTATATCAAAAGGAATTTGACATAAAAATATAATTCTAATGATCATGGAGAAATGATTGGAAAGGACTAATAGAGGAGTTCATACGAACAGAATCTATCCTTTTTCGTAAAGGGAAACAAAAGTTAATGGTAGAATATCCTAACAATTCCAGCACTACTTCGATAGTGCATTACCATACATATATATGTTAAGCTAATGCACTAAATATTCTAGTGATTATTAATCCTTATATTATAAATCTTTATAAATGTGTTGCCAGCAGCAGATGTGACCTTTGAAACATATATTATAAGGTCCGTTAATTAGGTTGGCTGGTAAAGATTCTGTATCCTTTCTACAACTGGCACGCGGTCTTATACATACGGAATTAAAATATGATATTTTTTCTATTTGAGGTTGTCAAGGAATGGTGGTGATAGGGCAAAATTCCATGAGAATACAAAAAGGAAATTCCTTTTTTGTCTTAATTAATTTAATTATAGTTATAACTATATGAACGAGGTCTTAATATGTTTATCCAATCATTCGGACTACGAGGATGCTAGTACAACTATCTACATAAAACTATATGGCTTTAGTTTTGCAGTATGCCATTGAGATATGCTAAATTAAATGCTAGTATAATATTAGAATCTTGATATCATTATTTTAATTAGTGTGTATTAATTCCAATAACATATCAGTATTCTGGTTTATTTTTATCTGAAAAATAAAAATTCTTATTTCTCCCTCCACCCTTGTTAGTATTCCACCTCTGTACAAGGCACAAATTATCAATCGTGATCCTTAATTATTTATATAATGGGATACTTTGATGTACTACAAGGCTCAAATTATCAAGGATAGCCCAAGGAGTTCTGAAACCTGTGCTAAATTCGAGCGATAGCACAACCAGTTTAATTTTTTAGTTAGTTTTGAGACCCATTGACCTAATATGTTTGGAAAACATTTGAAATATATTAAGGAAGTTATAATTGGGATCTCTTTTACTATAAATCTCATTCATAGTGAGAAATTTCTCTGTTTCTGCTTCCGGCTAGAATGTAAGATTGGCCAACGACCCTAGTTGAATACCTGTATTATTTCTTTTTCTCTGTTTACTCTATGTGTAATAGTTTTTTTTTTTTTTTTTAATTTTCCCTCCCCTTTATCCCCTTTGTTGGAGCTAATTCTCTTTTGGTAACTTGAGCCTACGGTCCTAAGGTTGTAGGTGGGGCCGTGGGGGTGTTGACCACCTGAGCAGCCCCTCTTGTATGTATGTAATCGTTAATTTGCTAGTTAACCCACGGTTATTTTGCTAGTTAACCCACGGTTATTTTGCTATATATTTCAAATATGATATTGTAAAAGTCATATTTAAGAACATTTTGTGAAAGGCTTTTATGTCACTGTCCCTTAGACTCTTACTATGATGGACTGGTAAAGCTAATTAACACAAAGGTTTCCTTAACAGAAATGTCATCACTCATATAAAAATGTATACGTTCCTTTAATAGGTTTTGAGCAGACAGTAATACATTAAGTCTCAGTTCTAGTTGCAGATGGACTCAAAATTGAACTAAATATACAACATGATATCATAGTTAAACAAACAGAAAAAAAAAAGTTTGTAAATTTAACCATAATATATACTCCATCTCATATATAGAGAACGAACTATTTCCAAATAATTAAACCGCAAAACCAGAGATTTTCCTTCCAATCTTGTGTTGCAGAATCTTCTGTAATTCCTCAGCGCGACAAGGAACTTCAAGAACACCCTTTTGTACAAAACCATATTCATCTTCAGCTTGCTTCAGTAAATTCAAGAATTTTGGATTTGTGAGCCAATGCAGCTCCACAACAAACCTCTTTGGTTCCTCCTCTGGATTGACTGAAAAAACAGCAAAGTAACCTTCTTTTACATCATTTGGCACCACCTCTTCATCATTCGCTCTCGGCGTTTCAATAAATTCCACAACAGCTTGAAATCTACTGGAATATTTGTGAATTAATTGAAAATGATTCTTGAGCTTTCCCACAATCATCTTAGTCTTCATCATTTTTGAGCTTATACTAGAGGTTGAATTTGCCATTTATTGATAATAATGTTGACAATTGTATTTGTAGTAGGATATGTTAATTTTTGCTTTATTCCAAAAAGAGTTTAGGGAGGCAATTTATAGAGATTGCACCTCCGAATCAAGAAGGAGAGGAAGTTTCTAAGATGCTGTGTATAGGAATGCTTTTGCTATTTTTGTATCATTAAATGCAACACATATTGAATATTATTCTGTCTTCTCTTTTTAAAAAAAATTAATTTTCATTTATAAAATGGAAACGCGGTACCATGATATGATTGTAAGTTTATAACAGCTAACCTCCGCATTAAAAAATTGGTCTCCTCCGTTGTACCTTTGTCCGTACAATACAAGTAATTCTACATATATATTAAGGGGTAGTTTTGTTCACATACTATTTATGCACTGAGATATAGATCAACAATTGTTTGTACGAAAATAAAAATGAATGGATTGTTATCAGGTGAATGTAATATAATCACGAGGAATAATAATGTAGGGAGTGCTTACATTTGTATCGGTCAGAAATCTGACCAATCGACCGTCGTGGTATCGACTCCGTCTCAAGTACGCTCCCCAAAGCAATGACCAGTGAACCTGACCTCGCCCAATCCGCATCAAATGCGAAGCAAGCGTTGAGGTCGCCCCCTCTACCTGGTCGACCAAAAGAAGGTCCAATGGGCGTGAGGCCCCAACTATAAATAGGGAAGAAAAGAGTTATTTAAAGGGGGGCTCTCCAGATATTTTAAGGGATTCTCTCTCCCTCTCTCTCTCTCTCTCCTTCTCAAGAAAGGAAAAGAATATCCCTTCTCCAAAAAAGAAGAAGCCCCGGAAGAGGAGAGATAAACGGATTCCCTGAACCTCTCCCAAAAAAAGGCAGGATCGATCTGGAGGATAGAAAATGGATTACTATTCTCTGAACCTCTCTATGGAGAGGCAGGGCCAATTTTCATGATCAATAAAGTCTCTTGAATGTCATCTCTATTACGTCTGCTATCCTATTGCTTCAGTTCTTAATTCGGTATTAATTATGGTTGGCTATGATTTACCCCTTTTTATACATTTGATTGATTTGCTTAAATATTGTTCGGCGCAACATTTTAAGTCAAACAACATTAAGGGCATTGTTTGTCTTTAAATATTTTTATTGCTAATGCACATATTACCGGTAGTTGGCACTAGTACTCTTGTATTCTCGTATTCCTTAATTTTGGTTATTACATGTTTTGTCATTTGCTTCCGCTAGCTTTTATCTTGTTGTTGCTATTAGTTAGTTATTGCTTCCTTTAGTGTTCTTGAGTCGAGGGTCAATCGAAAATAACCTCTCCACCTTCATAAGGTAGAGGTAAAGTATGCATACACAACCCTCCCTAGACCTCACTTGTGGGATTCCACTGGGTTTGTCGTTGTTGTTTGTTGGGCTATCTAACTATCTAGCCTCAGGCCCAATAAGGAACATTTAGTATCTGGGCTGGCCACTAGCCATTATTTTATTTTGTACATAGCCACATTTATATTTTGATTAGTTTTGGCTCTTTGTGTAAATGGACCTTGTATGTAAACAAGCTACATATAAATAGAAAAAGGCTGAATGCCTAATTAGTTTTTCCAGCCATAAACATTGTATTTCTTCTTCTTCTCCTTCTTGAATATTCCGCAGATTTCTAATCTTCATGTTCCTAAATCCTCACTCGATCCAGGATGTTCACATGGTATTAGAGCGTGGATCCTGATTGATCTCGTCACGCTGAATCGAGTGATGGTACCCTCGTTCAATTTCGAGAAAATTCAGAATCGTTTATTTTCTCTCTCTCGCAAAATATTTTCTTCGAATTTCCTGCAATCTCCAGCTTATATCTTCAATATCTCGGTCGATTTGAGGTTTTCCTTTGGTTTCGAGTCAGAGACTGTTGTTGTTGAAGCTAGGGTTCAAGTATTGTTTTGAAGCTAGGGTTCGAGTTCACCGTCGAAGTTAGGATTTTTGATTTGCAGCCTTCAAATCCTGGTTTTTCTGGAGATTCTCGTGATTATCAAGGCCGTGCTCTTTTCGGTTGCAAAAGAGGCTGGTAATATCGTTTCTTCTCAAAATTTATGTTTTACGGTAGAGCTGTTGATTACTCCTTGAACTTTGAGGGTTATTGTTATGATATTTTGTGTTTTGGTGTATTTTGGATTGTGAAAATGGGTAGTACTGACGGAACCATTGATTCCTCTAGTCCAATGTTCCTTCATCCCTCCGATGTCCCTGGGATTTCCTTAGTTCACACACCTTTCTCGTGTACTGGATTTGGTGGGTGGAAAAGAAGTATAAATTGTGTCTTTGTCTGCTAAGAATAAAATTGGTTTTGTAGATGGTACTTGCCCCAAACCTGCTGATAATTCCCCACACATTAAACAATGGAACAGATGTAATAATATGGTCATTTCTTGGTTGACCAGTTCACTTTCTCCAGAAATTGCTGAGAGTGTTCAGTATTCAGAAACTGCTAAAAGCATATGGGAACAATTAAATAAAAAATATGGGGCAGTTAATGGGACGAAGATTTTTGAGATAAAGAAAGAACTTGCTTCCACTATGCAAGGAGCTCTTGACATAGCTTTCTATTTCAACAAACTCAAAAAATTATGGGATGAACTAAGGGTAATGCGTAGTAATAAAATAAATGCTTGTGCATGTCCTATTAGAGCAGAACTTCTGAAAAAGGAAGAAGAGGATAGAGTCCACCAATTTTTAATGGGTTTGAATGAGAAATATGTTGGATTAGGAGTAACATTTTGATGATGCAACCACTCCATCACTTGATAACACCTATAACATTCTGTTACAAGATGAAAAACAAAGACAAGTAAATCCTGGTTCAAATTTCAGTTCTAAATCTGCATCTTTTAATGTGTCTGGCTTCAACAACAAAGCACCTTTTGCTCAGCCTCAAAGACAATATACTCAAAGGATTAATTTTGACCAGAGTAAAGGGAACCTGAGTAATCTGTTTTGCAAATATTGTAAGAAGCCTGGACACTTAGTTGATAAGGGTTACAAACTTCATGGGTTTCCTCCTAACTTCAAGTTTACCAAAGGCAAGAGAATTGCAGTCAATGTGACTACAGAAAGTGAATTTTCCAATGATTCCAACCCAAACTCATCTGGTTTCACTCCTAATGTCAATAGTGGTATTATGGTATCTTCTGAGGGTCAAATGTCTTCAATACATGGTCTAACACAGCAGCAGTACACTCAGTTAATGAATCTGCTTCAACAATCTCAACTGTCTGAGTCAGTTACTTCACCTCATATCATGGCATCTGCCAATTTTGCTGGTATATTGTTGTCTGATTCTGTAGTGTCTGGTTCTAGTTCTTGTATGCTGACACAAACCACCAATCCTAGAAAATTAATTTGGATAATTAATTCTGGTGCCACTGATCTCATGACATCAAATAAAGATGTCCCTTTCAATATAACTCCTTTAACTATCCCTTATCTTGTATCACTTCCAAATAGATATAAAATAAAGGTCACTAGTACAGGATCTTACTCTTTAAATGAATCTAACAATTTGCACAATGTCCTTTATGTCCCTTCTTTTCATCACAACTTAATATATATGAATAAACTAGTACAGCAATTGCGTTGTATAGTTATGTTCACTTATATTGGATGTTTTATCCAGGCCCATTTTCTGAAGAAGCCTCTGGAGCTTGGTAGAGTGGATGATGGACTCTACAAGGCAGAGTTTCCTTTAACATTTCTCCCACAAAATTCGATTACTGAAAACTTCAGTTCTTGAAGCTTAGTTTCTGATCTTTCTGTTCACAATCTAACATCTCTAAATACTTCCATTTCCACTTGTAATAAAGCTGCTCAAAAAGACATGGATATTGTTTGGCACCAAAGACTTGCACATGTTCCTTTTGTGAGAATGAAATCTATTTCTGCTATTTCTGTTTCTCCTAAACAATGTTTTCCTTGTAATGTATGTCCCATGGCTAGACAAAACTAGATTGCCCTTTCCTGACAGTAGTATTCAAACCGATAAACCTTTTCAACTCATTCATGTTGACACTTGGAGACCCTATCACACTCCTACTTACTCTGGTTGTAGATATTTTCTAATAATTGTGGATGATTTTAGTAGATCTACTTGGACTCACCTAATGGGGTCTAAAAGCAATGCTTTTTCTCTTCTCAAAGCTTTTGTTCTCATGGTCAAAACCTAGTACAATATGACTGTTCAATCTATTAGAAGTAAAAATGCATTAGAACTTGGGTCCAGTCACATAGCCATTTCATTCTTCTCTGATAATGGCATCATTCATCAAACTGGCTGCCCACACACACCACAACAAATTGGTGTGGTGGAAAGAAAGCATAGGACATTACTTGAATCATCTAGAGCTCTTCTGTTCCAGTCCAAGCTACCACTCAAGTTCTGGGGTGATTGCCTATTATCAGCCACTTACATCATCAATAGGCTTCCTTCCAAATTACTCAACAACAAATCACCTTTTGAAATATTACATGGAAAAATCCCATCTTATTCTCATCTAAGATCTTTTGGTTGTTTGTGCTATGCAACTGTCCCAATTCCACAAAAGGGAAAAACTTAAACCAAGGGCAATGAAATGTGTATTTCTAGGATATCCTTTTGCCAAAAAGGGATACAAGCTATATTGTTTAGATACTCACAAATTTTTCAATTCCAGAGATGTTGTCTTTCATGAGCTTGTGTTTCCCTTTGATACATCTTCCACTTCTTCATCTCATGCCATACAGTCTCCTAGTCTTCCTCCCAGTCCTGCTTTGGATCCTTTTAGTGACACTATTGTTCCTGTTCCTGTTCCTACTAATGAAGTTACTCCTAACAGTCCTTCCTTATCCTATCCCCTTGCATTATCTTCTGATAATGATATTACTCCTACCTCTACTTCTCCAGCTACCTTCTACTTCTTTGTCAACTCTTGCTTCTCCTCCTCCTCCCAATCCTGCTTCACCTACTATCAGTGCTGATACAATTCCTTCTATTCTTGAATCTCCTACTCCTCCCTTAAGGAGATCTGATAGACCACACCATCTTCCCTCCTATCTACAAGACTATAAGTGTCAGCTTCATGTCTCCTTTTCTTGTTCTTCTGTTCAGCCTGTTGAATTTGAGCCTTACACTTATACTCACGTAGCACCTATCCCATCATGGCAAGATGCAATGAGAAAGGAGTTTGAGGCACTAGAAGCTAATAATACTTGGGATATTGTTGAACTACCTGCTGGGACGAAACCTATTGGGTGTAAGTGGGTATATAAAATCAAGTATAGAGTTTGTAACGACCCGACCGGTCGTTTCGAGTGCTAGTGCTCCGTTCAGCAGTCGGAGGCCATGAACAGCTTCATTTCCGGTATTATGACTTGAACGCGTGGTCGGAATTGAATTTCGGGAAGTTCGGAGTTGATTTGGGAAGAGAATCCTCATTTCGGAAGCTTAAAGTTGAAAGAATGAACTAGGATTGGAATTTTGAGTAAACGACCTCGGAATCGGGATCTGAAGGTTCCAGCAGGTTCGTATGATGATTTCGGACTTGCGCTTATGCCCGGATCGGGTTTTGGATAACCCGGGAGCGTTTCGGCGCCTAATGTGGAAGTTAGCATTTTAGAAGGAATTTCTAAAGTTTGGCTTGAAGTGCATTTAGTGTTATCAATGTCCGTTTGGGATTCTGAGTCTGGGAATAGCTCCGTATGGTGATTCTGGAGTTGGGAGTGCGATCGGAAGTGAATTCGGAGGTCCGTAGGTCATTTTGGAGCCATTTGGCTAAAGATAGGAATTTGAAGGTTTTTGAGAAGTTTGACCGGAGGTTGACTTTTTGATATCGGGGTTGGAATCTGATTCCGGAAGTTGCAGTAGGTCCGTAATGTCAAATATGACTTGCGTGCAAAATTTGAGGTCAATCGGACGTGATTTGGTAGGTTTAAACATCGGAAATAGAAGTTGGAAAGTTCAAAGTTCATAAAGATTGAATTGGGGTGTAATCCGTGATTTTCGTGTTGTTTGATGTGATTTGAGGCCTCGAGCAAGTTCGTAATGTATTTTGGGACTGGTGGGTGTGATTGGTTGGGGTCCCGGGGGCCTCGGGTGGATTCCGGATGGTTAACGGTTCGAAAATGGATTTTTTGGGAAGGCTGAGGTTTGTTGATTGTTGGTATTTCCGCTTCTGCGGAAATGGGACCGCAGAAGCGGTAGAGGGAGCCGCAAAAGCGGAATTGTTCGAAGGTTCGTGGACCGCAGATGCGGTCAAGGTTCCGCAGAAGCGGGACCGCATCTGCGGAAGTGTATCGCAGAAGCGGAAGGGGCCAGGCCCAAGGAAGCCGCAGATGCGGCCAAAAGTCGTAGAAGCGACATCCGAAGAAGCGGAAAATGCACCACAGGTGCGAAAATCGCTGGTGGCAGAGGGGTTGTTTTAAAGTCGGATTTTGCTCATTTCACCCCTTTTCTTCACTTCATTTGGCAATTTTTGGAGAGCTTCAAAGAGGGATTTCGTCATCTATGTCAAGGTAAGTTACTCCTACTCATTACCAAGTTAAATACAAGATTATATCATGGATTTAGGCATGAAAATTGTGGGAAAATTGGTGTTTTTAGATGAAGACCTAGAAATTTTATAAATTAGAATTTAGCCACGAATTTGAGCATGGAATTAGGAGTAAATTGTATATTTGAGCTAGTAAAGCCATGGGTAAGCTTTATCTTCGAAAAATTTCGGATTCCGGGCACGTGGGCCCGAGGGCATTTTGGTCATTTCACTAAGCGGAGTTGGGAATTTGTATAATTTGAATTGTTAACGAGTATTCGAGTATGTTCTCATTAGTTTGTCGTTAATTGGCTAGTTTTGGTGCAATGTGCGTCGGTTCAAGCCTTCGGAAGAATGTAGAATGCGGATTATGAGTCTTCGGAGCGAGGTGAGTCTCCTTTCTAACCTTGTAAGAGGGAATTGTCCCCCTAGGTGAGATAATTGATTATGTGCTCCTATATGTGGGGGGCTACGTACGCACGAGGTGACGAGAGTCCGTGCGTAGCTACTATTATGCTATTGTCCGGGTAGATAGGACCCAAAAGCATGTTATACTTGGACTAATTGTGAACCCATGGATAGCCTGAATTGCTTAAATTACATTGAATTAGTAAGTAAATTTCTAAAAGGACTAAACTTCATTTCTTAAAGGTTGTTAAAGGAGAATTGGTATTATTCGGATAATTATTCCCCGATAAATTCATAATTGGCTACTTGAACATGTATTTTATGTGTACCTGCGTCGCATGCATGATTCCCGAGCAGGGTATGTGTTTATTTATGGAACGGGCCGAATGCCTCGGCAGATTAAATAGATGCATCTATGGTTCGTGCCGTTCGACCCTCGGCAGTGCACAGTTTATATTTCTGTTGGATCGGGCCGTCGCCTCGGTGTGATTTGCGCATGTTATTTGTCGCTTGAGAATTTTTAAACGTGAAATTTGCTCGTCGTGGCTTGATATAAATTGAAAAGATAATAAAGAGTAAATCTTGAAAATCCTTTGTTAATTGTTAAAAGGTGTTTACCTGTTTTACAGCTTCGTGAATTAGAACCTGCTATATGAATCCATGATTTCCTCACACATTTAGTATATTATTATTGGACCGCTAGTGAGTGTCCAGGTTGACCATCTCGTCTCTACCTCTTCGGGGTTAGGCGGGATACTCACTGAGTACACGTTGATTACGTACTCATACTACACTTTTGTGCATTTTTGTTGCACATGTATATTTTACATTTGATAGCATCACGGATGATTTGGGGACTATGTGAGCTGCATTGTTCTAGGCGACCCGCAGCTAGTGTAGTTCCCTTCCCGTACTTTATTTATTTACTTCCGGTCCACTGTACTTCGGACAGATATTGTATTTTATTTTCCTTATCAGTAGTTGCTCATGCACTTGTGACACCGGGTTCTGGGATGGTTTTTCGAAAGATGTGTAGTAATAGTTATTTCTTAATTTGAATCAAAACAGAGATTGTTTTATATATGAAAAATGGAAGGAAAACCCTTAGATTTTCTAAGGTATTAAAAGAGGATTTAATTGATAATTTAGTTGGCTTGCCCGACAACGGTGTCCGGCGCCATCGCGACCCGTAGTGGATTTGGGTCGTGACAACATGGTATCAGAGCACTAGGTTCCTAGGGTCTCACGAGTCATGAGCAAGTCTAGTAGAGTCTCGCAGATCGGTACGGAGACGTTTGTACTTATCCTCGGGAGGCTGCAGCACTATTAAGAGTACTTCCCTTCTTTGTTTCCTTATCGTGCGGTTCAATTCCCTTGAGGCTTATGCCTTATATTTCTTTCTACTCAATCTTACGCAAGCGCTGTAATAAATCGAAGATTGAAGGATTGCAATGGCACTACAAATGTGGTGCGGGATGATTCTCCCGGTATAGTTGATTGGACTGTTATAGTCGCCTTATGGAAGGATATTCTAGTGTTCAGCTCAGTAACAGAACTTCTAAGAGCCTTGAGGCTAGGCACAGGTTGCCATAATGCTATGAGCGATTATTCCGCAGTGTTGTTGTGATGGTAGGGTGTTTGCCCACGTGTCGGGGCAGTGAATGAATTGAAGGGAAGTTTACTCAGTGTGTAATCAAGGGATTCCGTATTTTATTCTCGGCAGGGGAAGCCAATCGAACTAAGGATGGTCAGATGTGGACTGGTGGAAGTAATGAATCGTGGTAATTGCAAGTGTGGTGGAGTTCTCCTCTACATGGGGGTGTCGTTGTCCTAATTGAACGCTTTAAGTTTGTCGGTGTTATAATCTGCTACAATTCTCCTTATGGCGGGATATTGTGAAATACTATTGAAGATGCAACCGTCAGATATAGCATGGTGCGGTGGTTTAGGATTGAACCAGCATTTTAAATGTTGGCGGTTCGAGAAAGATGACCTTCGGAGGGGTTTAAGTCAGTAGCGATCTGTGGATTCAAGTTCTATGAAGAAGAATTTTATTAAGGCAACAACTGAGCAGCAAGAGATGAGAAAGACATATGGGAAGTGTCAGGCGAAGTTTTAAACTTCTAAAAGGTCAGGCTTGGGGAGCACATGCCGAGCAGTTGATTAAAGAAGTGAGTTTGCCCAAAGTGGGAGAGCAGCAGAGCTACGTAGGGGCTTGGTAATGAGAAAACTATGCACCTTAAGGGAGTCTGGAACGACTTGAGAATATTGGTGCTGGGTTATTGGCGTCTTCGGATCTAATTTGAAGTAGGGATTCTTGTGCGGTCTGGGATTTAATATAACGGAAAGGAGCCGCTTAAATAAAGGGGGATGTAGCATGACTTTGAAGTGGAAGGATGTTGTTGCACACATAATGAATGTCCACGAGGGGTAAGTGAACTGCTACAGCTAAGGAGTGAGCTTGGACTCAGGAGAGTTATTCCCTGTGAGCAGTTTGGCGGTCGCGTGGTTGGCGAGGCTTCTGCGAAGAGTTCTACGGGTTATGCAGCAAGGGGAACTGTTGAGTGAATGTTGTTAATGATTTAGAGTATCAAATTGGGTTTCTACAGTAAGATATCGAGAATGCTGGCGATTGATTGCGCAAGGTTGTATCAATAAGAGATTAAGAATCCTGGTGAACTCCAGAGTTTTGTAATAGTGGCTTCAAGCTAAGTGGGAGAGTCCCACCGCCTATGAATGGGTTGCATGGTTAACTACTCGTGAGGTTTCCGGTTATTTGCATACTGGGGAGTTATCCCGGCTACGGAAAAATACCATAAGGAGTAATTGGAGCAGAGGAATTTTTTTAAAGATGTGCTATGGTTGGCCTTATGGGCTCGCGTTCGAACTTGGGAAAGAATTCAGGACTTATGCCTTGTATAGAAGCGGGTTTAAAGGGGAGCAATTCTGCCAGGTGCTTCATTGAGAGGGTATTAATGTGCTAGAAGGTTCATGGAGTTGATTATATACGGGGACCAAATCAGGAGCGGGGTGGCTCTCAGCAATGGTCTCTAGTAG